AATTGATTTTAAACTTTACAAATGTATTATATATTAGAAAAGATGTTATTGATTATAATAAAGTGAATTAGGAGGTTACATAAGCAATGACTACTATTTGGATATTTTAGCTAATTATACTATTATTTAAAAAAAATGTATTTAGCCAAAAATATTTAGCCAAAAATAATAGTAGATATTGAACCAATAAAATATTCAAAATCAACATAAATTTTTTTGGCTGAATGTTATTAGCCAAAAATTTACTATGCCTTTAGCTGAATTTTTCGGCTAACTACACTATTATTAATATTATTCAAGTTTCCAAAAAAAAAATATTTTAACTGGAATTATAAAATTTAGCTGGAATTATGTTATATAATAAATAAAGGTGATAAATAGGATTTTTCATACTAAAAACATTTCAAGTTTCTAGAATATATAGTAGTGCTCTGAAACGAGTTGATGTGACTCACAAGTTGGTCGAGTCGAGTCAAGTCAAGTTGAAAATTACAATCAAATTGAATCTATTCGAGTCGAGTTAATAATTTAATAAAATCAGAGTCGAGTTAAGCCAAATTAAACATAATTCCGGCCAAATTTATGGAATTTCCTTTTTTGGAAATTATATTACACAAAATCCAAGACAAAAATTTTTTGAAAATTACAAAAATGGAATTTTGTGGAATGGCTATCACCAAAAAAAGGAAATGATCAGCATAGCTGAAAAAAATCACGTAATTTAATTTGACTCAACTTGATTCAGTTTGACGAATTAACTCAACTCGAATTGAGTCAAGTTTATATTTTTATAATTTTAACTCAACTCGAGTCGAATTGAGTTTACATATAATAACTCGACTCGATTTGACTTGTTTGAAGTACTAATATATAGTAAAAATGGAAACAAGAAAAATATAATGTAAAGTGACAAATTATATATTATTAAAAATTACATAATACTAGTGCTGATAATTTATAGTAATTTTATATTATTTATTACTTTTAAAAATACAAAATTACTACTATTTAAATAAAATAATTTTAATAAGCTATATTTTATTTTTTTACAATCACTAAATTATTTGATTATGTTTAATTATATTTAAAAAATTTATTAAAAATAAATAAAGAGAAATTAAGAATTTTGCAAATAACTATAATAAATGAATTGTAAAATTAAAAAGTTTAGTAGAAATTTATATTAAAAATTAATAAAATTGCTATAAATTATCATGATAATAGGAATCTGAACTATACATAAAAAAGTAGAATAAGAATTTGCATAGAATTGACCAAAATAATCATGTAAATCTTTTTTTTATAGATAATTCTGGCAGGAATTTATTTTTTGACTGGCATTATCATAATTTTAGCTTTAAAAAAATACGTAAAGCTAACAGTAATTTTTTTTGGCAGTACCTTACCTCTTTTATTTTATTTTATGTGAAGTTGGCAGTACCTTACTTTTATATAAGGTTTTGCAATAATCATTATCAGTATCACCTGTCATGTGATTTTTTAAATTTTTGATCAGAGTTAAGTAATTTACATAGAAATTTTCTTTTTAGAAATTTTGTATAATGAATTTTTCCATTTTTAACAAAAAATAAAATTGCTTTTTTCAAATTATATAATATTACTCATATTTCTAAAAAGGAAATTTATATATCAATTTCTTAACTGTTAATTCTAGCTAAAATTTAAAAAATTATGTGATATTGGTAATGATCACTACTGGTAATAAATAGCAAATTCCAAAAATTAATACATAAAATTTTTTTTAAAAAAACAATTATATATCATATATTATTTATAATATTTTACTTATTATAAAATTTTTAATTTCATTTTATATTTAAAATTATATTTGAAAATTATAGTATGTTGTATAAAAAATATATTACAAAATAAATTTGATAATATTTATTTTAAAAAATCTACATAAATTAAATATTTGTATATTGTAAATTTTTAAGTATAACTGAATTTTTATTATTAAGTAATTAGATAATAAAAGAAGTTAAAAAATATGAAAAAAATATATATAAAAGTATTAATAAAAAGTATTGAATAATTGCTTAAAATATGTAAAATTTATTGATTTTAAAAGTATAATAAAAAAAAATTAAGAATTCAAATATATCAAAAATAACAATTAAATAAAATTAGTCTATTATATATGTAATACAATTAATTATATATAAAAAAAATGTTTAAATAATACTTAAAAAAAATTTAAAACTGTATTTATGTAGCATCCTTTTTTTATTTTTTTTAATAATAAATTTAATATGCATTTTACAAATAAAATTTTTATATGCAAAATTTAATTTGAAAAACTTTTACTTAATATACTTAATACAGTTTCATAGACAAAATTTTAAATTATAAGCAATTTCTTAAAATTTTTAAAAAAATTTTTGTCTTAGTTATACGACTAATCTGTTGTTACAATTAGATTTATCCTAAAATTAAAATATATTTATATTTTATATACTTATAATATAGTAATTTAAATGAAAATTTAATAAAGCATTAAATAAAAGTAAAAAATTTTTATAAAATTTTATGATAAATGCTATATATTACAAATACTTTATTAATTTTCAAAAATGAAACTAGATTTTACTAAAATTGATTAATAATTAAAAAAAATTTGCACTAAAATTAAATATAAATTTTTTGCAATTAATTTATATATTAGTGTATTACAAATTAAATATTTAGCCAGTGAAACCTCTTTTTCTTTTCTCTTATTTTTTATTATAAAAATAATATTTCATCTATTTTAAAATATATTTATTTAAAAAAATTACTTAAATATTTGGTTAAAACATTATTACATTAACTTAGTCTCTACTATTTATCTTTATTGGATTTAGCAGTACTTATTTATATTTTTAAATGACTTTAGTTATAAGATTAAAGATTTCAAACTAAAAAAAAAGAAATTTTCATTTTCTTAATAATAAGATATTATCTCTAATGATAATTTAGTAAAGTTTTTCTCTTTATTTAAGTTTTTACTTCTTCAAGTTGGTTTTTCTAAGATTTATAACTTTTTCCTATATTTTTGGTAAATTTTTTTTGTTTTTTTTTTTATCTTTTGCTTTTTAAAGTTTTTCTAAGATATTTCAAAATTAATGGATATCAGATGTTTAATAATTATTTCTTTTTAAAAGAATTAAAATAATTTAAAGAAGATGCAGATTTTAATGATCAGTTTTTGGTTAAAATAATATGTAATTGGACTATAATAGACTTTTTATTGCAATTTAATTTAAATTGAAAGAATTATTTAAAATGAAATAGATGTCCTTTCAAAAATTGCATAATACCAAAAATTTTCCTTATTTGCTTTTAAGTAGTTTATTAACTTTGGTAATGTAATCACTTAAAGAATTTATTTTTATTAACTAGTGTAAAGTAATGTTGCTACCTGAAACTCATTTAATGATAAATTCAAAAATCCAAAACTCAAAAACTTTATTTTTAATGAAAAAATTGTTAAGTCTAAAACTTTTTTAAATTATAATTAGTTTCAAAAAAGCATAAAAACAGTTTAGACAATTGATTTTTTATAAAAAATAAATTTAAATTTAAATATAAAATATAAATTTAATATATAAAATATTTGATTTATAATTGATTTTTTACTAATAATTTATTATTTTTTAATAAAGATTTTTTTGTTTTAAATTTAAATTTATAACTAATTAAATAATCCAATAAAATTAATTAGATATATAAAATTATATTAAAATTTTAATGTTAAATTTAAAATTATTATATATTATTTGAATTTTATTAGAACATAAAATTAATTGAATTTCTGTTGAAAAACTAAATTATTATAAGGGATTTGTAAATTATAAGTTTATAATCAAATAATATATTAATTATTGCTTATTATAAATATAAAGTTCTTATTAATAAAATCCTAAATATTTAATATATAACTTATAACTAATTTATATTACTTTTTGTTTTTTTAGTTTTTTGCAATTATCTTAAAATTTAATGGTTAGATTTAAATAAACTTTTTTGTTTTATAGATGGAATTATTAACTATATTTTAAAAAAAAATCAGCTGCTTTGGATTATTAGATGATGAAATAATTGCAAAAAGTTGATTTTTAAATTTTTAAATTTAGTTGAATTTGCTTTTTCTTTATTGGTAAAGACAAATTATAAGTTTGTTTGGAATTATTTATTAAGATTACAAAAAAGATATCTGCTATTGCTAATAAAATCCAAAGAATTTTTGTTATTTTTGCATTTTTACATATAATTTAGTTTAATTATACCTGATATGAATAACAAACTTCTAAGAAGTGAAATTATCATTTTATAAAACATTTTACTACACTTGAAAAATATTTTTTATATAATATAAATTTTGTGAAAATGATTTCACCATTAAAATTATTTATTAAAATACAAGTAGTAAATCTAGTTGACTTTCTTTGATTCAAAAATTTCAAATAACTGTCAAAATTACTATCTAATATATATTCATCTATATTATCAGTAACAGTTGAAATGATGGGCCGATTGAAAAAGCATTCATATCTAATAATTATATGAATATTATTCACTATTTAAATCAAAATTACTATTTTCAAGCAATTTTCAAATTGATAAATTTAAAGCAATAATATTGTGAAATACTTTCAAAATGCAATATTTTAATATAAATCACTCTGTTCTATAATAAACAATGTATTTAAATTGTAGTTTAAACTAGATCAGTGGTTAAACAAAATACCTGATCCATTATTATAGAGATAAGAAAATTTTAAAATAATAATAATGCAAAAATGCTTCGTGGAATATAAAACACGGACAACATTTTTTGAATAGGGCTATAAAAGGTCAAAGCGGCCAAAACTTAACTTTAAATGCGTAAATTAGTTAGTTATGCGAGATATGGGATGATTGGCGTCATCAATGGCTAAGCCACATTTTGAGCGGTGAATGATAAATAGCCCCCTTTTTTAAAGATCTTAGATCAATTCGCAAAAATGTCCACTGATAAACCTAAAGGTATTCTTAAGAAACCATCTATAAATTTTCAAACGAAAACACCAAAGTAAGCGCTTTTTGACTAAAATGTAGTAGCCGAAGTATCGTAAATTATAACGGTTGTTTCACTATAGATTAAAATGGGACGAGGATAATATTCAATTAACCGAAGCGCAGAAGAATTCTACAATGAAAGTTACAGAGCCTAAAACGCCTTACATTCATTACAACCAAGAAACAGATGAGATTATGACTGATCTTGAAAGTAAGTTGTTAATAGATACTTAATTTTTTTTTTCTAAATTGCTCATAATTTGATTATTTGTAGAGATCCCTGGTTTAGCTTTGAGTTCTAATAATAGTAACCAAGGCTCTAGTAGTGTTTCCCCTATAGGTTCAGTTTCTCCATCAGCGGCTCATTTTCCTGACTCAATTAAGGACGACTGGGATTCTGAAAATTCCGAAGAGGATGAAGAGAGTAAGTCGACTTCGTTTATTTTAAAATTAAATACACCCACGATTTTTCTTAATGACTTTAATTTGCTGTTGTTAGCTAAAATTAAACGTAAAAAATTTGCTGAACTCAGAGCAAAGCATTATAATATGAAGGAAGCACTTCGATTGGGACATAAATTAGTAGATGAGGATGTAGACGAAGAAGAAAATGGTAATGCGGCTGCCTTGAATGAAGAGAACGAAATCGATAATAAAGACTACGATAATTCATCGTCAAACAATGGTGTTCCCATGGAAACATAGCAAATTTAATTATTTTATTTACTTATTTATAGTCACTCATAATCTTTATAATATTATTTTTAATTTTTTTATTTTCGAACATTACATGTTAATAATTTATTATGTAAAATAGTCTTAATCTTTGAGTTTTAATTTAAATATAAAAAACATCTCTCGGAATTTTCATTAGATAGTTAGTTCATTTATTTAAAAAGAAATAGAAATAGAAATAATGTTCTGTGTAACGTTTATTGATCTTATCTTGGCGCAGCGTTAAATCTAACTATTTTTAACACTATTTTGGACAGTAAATGGACTTTTTTTTTTTAATATATATTGTTTCTTTTGGACTCACTTAAATTTAAAACTGCAAAATGGCAAACACGGAAACGTTGGAACGTTTTTTCAGTTACGTTGACCAAAACCAGGAACATTATGTTACTAGGTTAAGAGAAGCAGTAGCTATTCCGAGGTACATTAATAATATCTCGGAAATTGGTTATATATAATATTTGTGCGAGAAGAACCTTATAGTCTAATTTTAGCTCTTATTTTCAAATAAAATTTGGATGATGTTTTAATGTTTAATATAATTAAATATACATAAATAATTTTCTTGGATGAACTGAACGATAATACTATCAATTTAGTGTGAGTGCTGATGCAGATCATCGTGAAGACGTTTACCGGATGGGCGATTGGCTCATCGGGTTGTTCAAGCAACTTAATATTAGGTGTGAAAATTTTGCGATTTTTTCTTATCTTTATAATATTTGATATCAATTATTTTTTTTTTTTTTACGGATAGCTATGAAGTTGCTGAACCAGGCACTCATGTGCTAGATGGTAAAACTTTGAAATTGCCACCTATCTTGTTGGGTACTTATGGCAATGATCCTAATAAAAAAACTATCTTGGTATATGGACACTATGATGTTCAACCGGTAGGGAATCTTTTTCTTTCTAAATAAAAATTATGAAATCGTTTTACGTAATAAATTTGTGATAATTAATATTCTGCTTCAAGGCTCTAATTGAAGATGGCTGGAGATCAGATCCTTGGAAGCTTACTGAAGATTCTACTGGTCGTTTAGTAGGTCGTGGATCCTCAGATGACAAAGGTCCAATTATTGGTTGGCTTAATGCAATTGAAGCACATCAAAAAGCTGGAATTGAATTTCCAGTAAACTTAAAGATCTGTTTTGAAGGTAATTAAATTAATTAACATTCTTTAAATATACTTTAAAACTTTAAAATTATTTGTTTATTAATTTAAGGAATGGAGGAGAATGTATCCGAAGGATTAGATGATTTAATTCTACGAGAGGCTAATAGATATTTTAAAGGCGTAGATGCAGTTTGCATCTCTGATAATTATTGGTTGGGTGTCACAAAACCATGTTTGACTTACGGTTTACGCGTATGTAGTTAATATAATTTGTGCTGATAGTTGTAATAATGAAAAGGATATCCTACTCATCATTCATATATTCTTTTTTTAAGGGCATTTCTTATTTTAAAGTCACAGTTTCTGGTCCAGGGCGAGACCTTCATTCTGGAGTCTTTGGTGGTACTGTTTATGAGCCTATGACGGATCTGATTATTTTATTCAGTAAATTAGTTACTTCGGATGGAAAAATATTGATTCCTGGAATCAATGACGACGTAGCGGAATTAACAGGTAAGAAATCATTATTTTGTTACTTGTTTATTAAAATATTAACAGTTTTAATATTTTAGATGAGGAAAAGGAAACTTATAAGGCAATTGAGTTCAAAATACAAGATCTTCAATCTGCTATCGAATCTCAAACTAATCTATTCGATAACGAAACTCAAACTTTACAAGCTCGGTAATTACTTCTGCTAGTACTAAAAAACGGAAATGATTGTCATTAATTAACTAATCTTCTATTACATTAGTTGGCGCTATCCGGCACTATCTATACACGGCATTGAAGGAGCATTTTCTGCACCCGGAGTTAAAACTGTATTACCTTGTAAAGTTTCTGGCAAATTCTCAATTCGTTCAGTTCCAAACATGGACCCTGATAAAGTTACAGCTTGTGTTGAAAAATATTTAAAAGAAGAATTTGCTAAACTGGGCAGTAAGAATAAACTTAATATAGAAAGTTTACATGGTGCCAAAGCATGGGTTTCAAGTCCAAATCACTGGAATTTTGGTTTGTTTAATATTTATTTTTTAGAAGAAAAACATGAGTGTAAATAAAGTATTATTAATATAATGAATGATTTTTCACAGTCGCAGCAGCTAAAGCTGTTGAAAAAGTTTTTAAGTGCAAACCTGATCTGACACGTGAAGGAGGTTCCATTCCTGTTACTCTTACTTTCCAAGACGCGCTAAATAAGAATGTTCTTTTGCTTCCAATGGGTAGAGGAGACGACGTAAGAATTATTTATATTCTCAGTTATTGATTAATTATATATTAACCATTTTTTTTTAATTCCATAGGGCGCTCATTCGACAAATGAAAAACTTGATCGATCTAATTATATTCAAGGAATCAAACTGCTCGGTACTTATTTACATGAAGTAGCTGCTGTTAAATCTACTTAAGTCATCGGACCTGTCATTTGCTTAGTTTATTAGTTTTTAAACATAGTCTTTAAGGCATGCATTATATTGATTATTATTTTAGTTATAATTAATAAAGTTCAACTTATTTAAACATATAGTAGTTTTTTTTAAAAAATATTGTTTCAGAAATACTTAAGTTATTGAGCTTGTTTTGATAAACAAGAAACTTTACTCAATAATGCGCTGATAGATTAAACTGTAATATATTTTCTTTTATTCTTCCCTTTATCCTTTCATTTAAGGAATTTGAAAAATCTGAAAAGATGGTATCAAATGATTGCCATTAAAAAAGAAGATTAGCATTAAGTAAATAAAGTAAGGCATGTGAAGAAAAAGTATCCTGGTTATAAGAAGACGAATCTTAAAGGAAACAGACTAACTAGTCCAGAGTAGTAATTATCAGCTTAGAGGGTTTTCTTGCTATATATTCTATATGACAAAAAATGTAGATTATGATAGCAGAATTAACTTATTCTAGACATGTGCACTGACTGATGCTAGCTGGATTTTTGATAAACACTTCATGTAATTATCAAAAAGAGACCTTTGGAAATAATAAAAGCCTCTCTTTAGTAAAATAACCCATTTTTACTCCCTTATTGATGAATTTTTGTATTAATACACTTGGAACATTTTCTAAAGAATCATGAAATTTCTCAAATTTTTGGAAATATACTCTTGTATTTTATTGGCTTCTTCTGCCATTTTCTGATTAATACAACCAATAATACCAAAAATTTTTTTGAATTGTTATTATCTTTTCTTTTAAATATAAAAGCAAATTATATATTTCTCCAAATGATGTATCTATAGAGGTTTTTTTATTTTCAGTTAATAAGTTATTGCTAGAGTGTAATTGCTATTGATCTTGAATTTCTTTTATATTAGTATTATTTTTTCTATCAAATTTAACAACTTATATGAATTAGCAAGTATTTTTACTATCTTGTTTTGATACATTATTGCTTGATTTATATTATTATTAATACCAAATTTTCCTGAATTGCTATTGTATTCTTCTTCTTATATAGAAGCATTCCATATAATTAATCAAATATTTTATTTTAATTAAATTTATTATTAGTATTACTTATCATAATTGCTATAATAAAGTAATATATTTAATATAAAAAAATTTGAACTTTAATCACTGATCGTATGAACCATTTTTTTTACGAAGAAAAATAATTTTTATTCTTATAAATAACAGCTAATAATGATACCAATAACACTCAAATATGCTTGGAAAAAAGTACAAAAAGCACTTTGCAATATTATGGAAAAAGAGTTCGTCTCTCTTTTTGAAGTAGTTTTTGAACGTCTTGCTGAGATCAGCATTACAGATGTGAGCCAAACCTTACAAGACCATTTCAAACTTAAGATGATAAACTACTTGTCTAAAGACCTCTATAAAGTTTTAGTTGAAGGATATATAAAAATTAAAGCTACTAATGTGAATAGTTTTTTGAACCTTATATTCATTTTCTTGAAGTTTTAAAATATACTTGGACTTTCTTTGAGTAAAAAATTCAGAACTTTAGAAAAAAAGTCATCTGACTCCTATATGTCAACAAAATCCACCAATCAAAAGGTAATACCTCCATATTTATCATCTTTAGATATGAAAATTTTTGAAAATATTATGTACTAATTACAGAATGTTATTGTTGAAATACAAATAAAATCTTTTGATGCTAAATCATACTATTTATTTTAAAAGAAAAGAATTGCATGATAATATTTGGCAATATTATGAAATGAAAGCCTGATAATGATAGTAAGTCTAATTTATCAACTTCTATTGAACATAAACAATCAAATAAATCCATTATTTTAAAGAATCCTAATAATAGTGAAAGCAAATTAAAAAAGTCTGATAAAAAACAAAAATTTCAACAACATATATCTGAAAAGATAATTTTAATTATAATAACCAAATATGAATCTGTATTTAAGAATAATATTTGTAAAATAATTGTTTATAATATCTATTAAACTAAATAATGTAGCTTTGAGTAGTGCTTCTAACAGATCAGTTCAGACTAGATTCAGCTTAATTCTGAACCAATTTAATTTTTATTTTAATAGATCTGATTTGATCTGAATCTAATCAGATTTGGTTTAATTTAATTCAAATCTGATTTAGATCTATTTGAATCTGATTTGAATCTAATCTGAATCTGGTTCAGATCTAATTCTTGTTCTAGAAAAAGAAAGGAAATGTTAATTATATTTCTTAAGTAAAAAGAAAAAAATAAAAATAAAAGAAACGAACTTACTATAGTTCATTCTTTTAAATTCTGGTCATTTTACGTTCAGGTTTCCTAAAAAAAAAAAGGAAATGTTAATTATATTTTCTTAAGTAAAAATAAAAAAAACTTTAAAAAAAAGGAACGAACTTACCAATTACCATAGTTTTTTTTTAAATCCTAATTATTAACAACTTTATTCATTCAGATTCTTAAAAAAAAAAGAAAGGGAATGTTGATTATGTTTCTTTAAGTAAAAAGAAAAAAATAAAAATAAAAGAAATGAACTTACCATAGTTTATTTTTTAAATTCTAATCGTTTAACTTTGTCTATGTTCAAGTTTTTTTTAAAAAAAAGAAAGAAAACGTTAATTACATTTCCTTAAGTAAAAATAAAAAAAATTTAAAAAAAAAACGAATTTACCATAGTTTGTTTATTTTTTTTAAATCCTGGTCGTTAGGCTTCATTCATCTAGACTTTCTAATAAAAAAAAGGAAACTATTAATTACGTTTTCTCAAGTAAAAATAACAAAAAAAAGAAATGAATTTATTTAGTTCGTTCTTTTAAATCTTGGTCGTTTAGCTTTATTTGTTTATTCAAAAAAAAGGTTTTTTAAAAAATAAAAATAAATTTGATTTGAATCTGTTCAGATCGGATTTTCTTGTGTTATAATCTGATCTACAGATCAAAATTTTGAAAACTAAATCAGATATAACTCAGATCAAATCTGCAGATCCAGATCAGATCAGATTTTTTTTGAAACACTAGTTTTAAGTTAATGAAATGAAGGAGTATAAACTGCTCCTTTAGAGGATTTTACCAGTATAATAGTTTTTAGCAACTTAGAATCTAAAGCAACACAAAAAATGTAAGAAATTCCAAGTGGTTCTTGTTAATATTCCTAAATCAATGACTACTAGTATTGTATATTTTACTGATAACTTTGCTCAATCATTACTTTCTTTTACAGATTGTAAAGCTTTTAAGATTATTCAAAATAAAAGACAATTAAAATTAATCATGTATTACCAATTATGGGTAGATTTGGATAAAGTCACCAATATAAAGTTCAATTTTCAAGAATATAAAGATATATGGATAAGATACTTTACACTCTTCTTAAATCAACTGTGTAATAGGTTACTAAAAAAAAAATGGACTGCATCACAAGTAAAACTAAAATATAGAACCATCAATAACATCAAAAGATTTGGGTAAATGGAATCAGAAGAGAGAATCCTTTGGAAAAAGACAAACTAAATGACTTTCTAAAGTGTTGAAAAAGAATCTAAACAGTACTTTCAAGTTAACAGTATTAGCAAAAATTAGGAATCTATTAAATAAAATTGTTAACTGATAGGATGACTGAGCAATTTAGTAAATTATAAGTAGGATAAATAGAATACTATAGTAGCTTTTCAGGACCCCGGAAAATACATATACAGGTCACATTTAAGTTTTGGCGAATTAACTCAAATTTAACTTAATGTCCAAATTTAAGTTTTGGCGAATTCATGAAAATTTAAGGGGTAGTCATAATTTTTAGTTTTAGCGAATTGTATGAATTTTCTCATAGTCATATTATACGTTTTAGCGAATTGAATGGATTTTCTCATAGTCATATTATTCGTTCTAGCAAATTTATCCTGTTTTGGTATTTTTTTTTTTTCACCCTTTCTCACGATCAGAAGTATATATTTTGAAACTAACTACGCGTTTTTTTTACAAAAACTAAAACTTTACTTTTATAATGTTGAAGTGGAAGCATACTCGAACTCACTTAAGTGATAATAAATTTTGTGCAGCTATTATTAATAAACGTGAAGTATTTTGCAAATGTGGACAAAAGGTTATTCTTGATAACGACTATGATGAGAAAAGGCTTAACGAACATTCTAGAAACTCTAGATGTAAAATAAATAACCAAAAACGACAACTTGGTTTACCTGGTTTGTTTCCTGTCTTACCTAATCCTAAAAAAGTAAGAGAAGACTTAGAAGACTCATCACCGCCACCACCGCTACCATCACCGCCATCATTTCCAAATAAACCATGTCCTGGACTCCATTCTGAACAAATTGTTACTTATATTAATCTAACACCAGCTACATATGGAGGTGCATGACGACGAGAAGTAATTGGAAAAGAAATGTTTCCAAATAAGTTTCCAAATAAACTACCATTTAATTCTAAAAAGCTCAATAAGGAGGAAATAACCGATTTTAATCAGCAAATGATTGTTGAATCAGAATGGTTTATTGATCGTCTTGGTAAGAAAAATTAGTTAACCGTATGATGATCATTTATTAATTTATTAATACTATACTGACATTTAATTTAGGAATGTGCGTTCGATCAGTCAACTGTGAGAAAAAAACTTATGGGCAACCCTGTTCACCATGTTCCCATATTTATTTTAATTCAACTTTTTTGAATCGTTTGCATTGTGTAGTTCCCGATCCAAAAAATACTAAATTTACACCGAAATTTTATTATGAAAATAATCCGTTATTAATATATCTAAAAAATGGTCATATTAAACAATTAAATGAATTCCTTAATACCGAGGATTCATCTGTAGGATTTTGGATGGAACTTGCTAATAAAGCTGTTCAAGGTGCATTTGACCAAAAACCAGTATTTAAAGGACTTTGCTATATTATGTTACAAGCTGCAGAACGTAAAGAACAAGAAAAAGGCTTACGAAATCTCAAATATCCAACTGAATTTTTAAATTTTCTTATAGTGTTGGGAAGTATTAGTTTAAAAGCATTGGATTTGTTCTGTCAGAATTTAGCTGGTATGACAATTCGTACAATAAGGTAATGATAGTACAATTAAAATTATCTAATTA